CCTGATGGGCATAGTTCTTTAAATCTGCATTGCTAGTAGATTTTCCCTATCCCCTCTGAACTCTTACAGTGAACCTGTGTCCAGGCTATTACAAGCACAAGCAGTAAGTGAGCTTAAAAACAAGCTCTCACTGGCCTCTTTAGCTACATGTACTGTGGAGCAATTAATTATCAATGTTAAGAGCTGAAGCACCAGAAGATTTCCAAATTATTTCCTCTGCAGCTCAGCTCTCGCTGCTCTTCCCTTCCTCCTGTGACATAGCTGCCCATCTCCCCTGCACACACTTCCATCCGTGACTCGGGAACCTTGTTTTCTCTTTCCATTAGTGACCCTGCAACTCGGCTCACCCATTTCCCCCTTCCAGCCATGACTCAGAAGTCAAGCTCCCACTGCCCTGTCCCTCCCATCAGTGACTCAGCAGCTCAGTTCCACTCTTCCAACCTTCCAGCAATAACTCTGCAGCTCAGCTTCCTCAGCTACCTCTCTCAACATTGACTCTGCAGCTCAGCTCCCACTGCTCTTGTCTTGATTACTTGGGTCACGGACAACAATAAAAAGTCTATTTACTCTCCCCGCGTCTATCCAAAACGGCAGCAACAAACAGATTTTGACAGGGGTTGGGTTTAACAAGAAGATACCTTTGGGCCGGGGGGGTGGGGGCAGACTACATTTGGAGGCACATTAGTGAATTTAGAGGACTCTGCAGCTCACATTGGAGGCTGGTCCTCAGCAATAGTGGAGTAATGTGAATTGATGGCTGCCAGTCACATTTAGATGTGAACAAGGAGTTTACTGACTCTGCCACTCCTGGGAGAGAGGGTCAGGGCATGCAGCACTCCTGGGAGAGAGGGTTAGGGCATGCAACACTCCTGGGAGAGAGGGTCGGGGCATGCAACACTCCTGGGAGAGAGGGTTAGGTCATGCAGCACTCCTGGGAGAGAGGATCGGGGCATGCAACACCCCTGGGAGAGAGGGTTAGGGCACGCAACACTCCTGGGAGAGAGGGCTAGGCATGCAACACTCCTGGGAGAGAGGGTCAGGGGCACGCAACACTCCTGGGAGAGAGGGCTAGGTTACGGAACACTCCTGGGAGAGAGGGCTAGGCATGCAACACTCCTGGGAGAGAGGGTCAGGGGCACGCAACACTCCTGGGAGAGAGGGTTAGGGGCACGCAACACTCCTGGGAGAGCGGGTTAAGGCATGCAACACTCCTGGGAGAGAGGGCTATGGCATGCAGCACTCCTGGGAGAGAGGATTAGGGAACAGGACACCCATGGACACCAGAAAAGAGAGACAAAAAGTACCTACAAGCCTTCAGAGATAGAGACCCCTCAGACCGGCCCGGCATCCTGTGACATCAGCTCCTGGCCATAAGATACTGGATGGTTCCGCTGCTAAATCTTGGGGGAAAATTCACCATACTTCAGTCAAGACCAAGCTTCTGCCAGCTTCTCGGGGACCTCATTTAGGGTGAAGTTCCTCCATGGTGGACCTCATTTATGGTGAAGTTCCTCCATGGTATGTCAATCCCCAAGCTCAAGTTACTAGGTCTTGAACCCAGACCTTGGTTTGAACACATGGTCACCCTCCTCAGGCACCAGGCCTAGGAGGATCAGACATACAACTGGAGCCCTCCATTTGGCAGTAGGCCTGGGGGAAGACTGACTGAGGGAGGTCACTCCTGAATATCTATACCTTCTTCCAGCCTGCACCACTGGCAATAAACCTCCTAGTGGTTGGCCAGGAACACTGCAAATGGCAGGAAGAAGCAACAAGGACCAGAGCCAGAGAGACTTCATAAAGCCAATCTATCAATCAGACTCAGGCTGACTACAGCCTGACAACATCTATAGACTTGTGCTGGGGGCAGAGTGGCTACACATGCATACACATAACATGATGCTAGGTCCACTTTAAGGCAAGATTTGTTCCCCTTTAAGTCTTTAGCTACTCTTCATTGCAGTGGGAAGACCGATCCGTGTGCCGCATTGTCCCGTCCCGTCAGAGGAAGAAGTGTCACATTATCACCAACTCTACATAGAGGGACTGAAGCAGGTCTTCGATGACTTCAAGGTGTCTTCTGGACTCTCGGCTAGTGATGTTCTACAGATCATCTGACCTGCTTTTAGACAGCATCTGGCTCTCCATCTACTACAATACTGTACAAGGCAGTGTGCCACGGACATTCTGGCACTCATAATTCCACAGTTCCTAGCATGCATGCCTGTAAGGATGACTAAACCCCAAATTTGTATTTTCACTTAGGGATGGATGCTGTTGGCTTAAACCGGTTGACTTGTCTTCTGCTCATGTAGGCTTGCCCAGCAACTCACATACCTGGTATTTCCATGTAGAAAGTATCATGTGACTCACTCTATTTCCTTCCAAGGGATAGTACGCATGCTTGATAATTGGCCACTCAGGTACCCGGCACTGTCACATGGAAGCTGGGAGAGAGTCGCCATCTCGGGGTAAGCTCCAAGTCATGAGTTTAAGCTTACATAAGGCTTCCTCCCTTCACTCCTGGCAGCCATTTGGAGTGGAGGAGAAATAAAGGGAAAGTACGGTATAAGCGGATCTGGGTGGCGACATTAAAGTGAACCTGTTGCTTTGCTCCGCCTTGCCTGGCCAAAGAACAGGTTACCTCAAAACTGAAGTCCGGGCTAAACAAGTACTGTATTGTCTAAATACAAAAATTGTGTGTATTCTTCCTTGGAATCTTGGTGAGCTTTCTCTATTTCTTCCAGATCTGTGCAGTAATACAGGGTGAGACTTGGAGCTTCATGTAATAAAGACCAGTTGCTGCTGCTCTCCCTCCTTGTGCAGGGTGACTAGTCTTGTCTCCGCCCCCTCCAGTAATAAAGACTGGTCACTGCTGCTCTCTTTCCTTGTGCAGGGTGACTGGTCTTGTCTCCGCCCCCCTCCTGTAATAAAGGCCGGTCACTGCTGCTCTATCTCCTTGTCAAGGTGACTGGTCTTGCCTGCGCCCCCTCCTGTAATAAAGACCGGTCACTGCTGCTCTCTCACCTTGTGAAGGTGACTGGTCTTGTCTCCACCCCCTTATGTAATAAAGACCGCTCACTGCTGCTCTCTCTCTCCTTGTGAAGGTGGCTGGTCTTGTCTCCGCCCCCTCTTGTAGTTTTCTGCAGGCAGTCTGTAGTGGGTGGACCTGTTGGGCCCCTCCCACAGCTCTGCCCTCTGCACAGGTTATACGCAGCACAATGATGATGTCACACACATTTTAACAAGGAGTTACCGGTATTTGGATTTGCAAAGGCATTTGGTGCACACAAAGTGGATTTATGCCCTTTGCGGTTATTCTGTATCAGTGGCGACTCTAGGAACAATATGTAGGGGGGGCACATAAGATACAACAGTCAAATCTGGGGGGGCACTAATAATTTTCACTGCATGTCGCAACCGCTTGGCACCGATGAGCTGATTTAATTGCGGATGGCATCGGCACCCCGCGTTTGCGACATTTAGTCCAACGCCGCCCACAATCCCACATACCGCAACCGCCGGGCGCCGATGCCATTCGCAATTTAATCAGCTCTCGACGTCCGGCAGTTGTGGAATACAGCATGGACTGACTGGCAACCTTTAGCCCAGGGGGCAAGTACAACCCAGAGGCCCATGATAACTTAGCCCACCCTCCAGCTCTGCCTCTTCCCCCCGCCCCTGCCTGACACTTTTAGCATCCATGTTACACTAGTGTGTGGTCGGGTGATGTGAGGACTAGTGATGGGCTCGGGCGTGTTCGCAACTCCACGTGCCGAGCCCACCAGGATTGGCGCAGGGCCAATCACAGGTACTGAGACATTATCCCAGTCCACAGCTGCAGAGATCGGAATTTGTCTCAGTGCCTTTGATTGGCGCTGTCACCTTCCTGGCGGGCTCGGCACATGGAGCTGCGAACACGCCGAGCCCATCACTAGTGAGGACTCCTAGTAAGTCCATAAAAGGGGTGACTGGCTGGGGGATGGTGTTCTCCTCCCACTGGGCTCCCTACCTGGTTCTGGCCTTACTCCGCTCCATGTC